GATAGCAGCTTCCCTCTGGAAACACATCATTCAGGATGGGCGGCCCTGCTCCCACAGTGGACTGAGTTATTGTCTGTTTGCTAACGAGTATGTTAGGAATCTTACCTCCTAACGTCGTGGCTTTTAAAATGGAATTTTAGCCTTAAGATGGAATCTGTTACACTGTATCTTAGGTGGTTTGGAAAATTAATCATGATGTTTTTCTCAGGTCCCTGCCCTGTATCAATAGGGCCTTAAGAGATACATACTCAAAGGAAACGTATGGGCTCTGTTTAGTCCCAATTGAACAAACCAATTACAAAAGAAAATTTTTTTTTTAGATAAACTGTATAAATGAAGATTAAAATTAAAGAAGTATCATTAATTTTTTAAGTGTTAAAATGCTAATGCGGTTATGTCAAAAGAACTTTTTACAGATGAGTCTATATGATATCTGTGATTTGCTTCAGAATAATGCAGGGCACGAAGGTCCTGGGGGATTGGGAAACAAAAGGGGCCAGGGCTTAGTAATTGTTGAGGCTGGGTAACATGGGAATTCATTAAGCTATTCTAATTGCTTTTTCATATGTTTGCGATTTTCCATGATTTTCTCAAAGACTCAGTGTTTAACCTAGAAAGGCCCTCAGAGATCTGGTGTAATCTCTTATTTATTAAAAATAACTGAGGCCAACAGAGGAAAAATGACTTGCTGGAGGTAACCAGTGTGACCCAGTGGCAGAGCCTAGAGTAGGCACAGGGCTTTTGGTTCCTAGTCCAGGGTCCCCTCCACCCAGTATTTTACCTACTCTGAATAGACCCATGTTATTTTCATCTTCATTTCAGTTGGTGTCTGGAAAGATAGCTACGAGCCAGACCACTGGGCTGTAAATCTTGAGCTTGCTGTTTGCTGGCTGTGTGACCTTGGGCAAGTTTACTTAATTTCTTGGGCCATCAGTTCCTCATCTTTAAAATGGGTAGGTGCTAATGAGACGAGGACCGTGGGTGCAGTCAGAGTAGGGTGAAGGCCTCCGGAAAAAGACCCCCACCAAAACTCCATATTAAAGAATTAAACAAAGACAGAGTCACATTAATTCTCTAATGTAAAATATCAAACTAACAATATAAACATTCTTCAATGGAGATTAGCTAAAACTAAAAAGCCAGGAATAACCTGGCCTGGAATGTTTGAACATCTCCCAGATAAGAAAGTACCTCAGCATAGCCCATGTCTTGTTTGTATCAATTAAATAAAGCTATTATAAAATTTACTTAAGCCTGCAAAAAAACCCAGTTTATCTTTAGCTTTACCAAGATGCTGCTTTTCCTCCTCCGGCCCTAATCAAGTCAATAACTCAACTCACCTTGAAAGCAAGACAAGCAGCCTTGACTAATATACTCCCAAACCAAAAAACTGTTACTCTGAGAAAGGATCAAAGCAGTAAATTTCTTATGTTAACTCTGCAAAATAGTCCAGAAACCTGATAAGAAACTTAGTGTCTCCTTAAAAGTAAACATTTAGAGACCATTTGGTGGGTCTACATCCCTAACTCTTTGTCTCTCAACCGCCTGTAAATCCCCTAGACTATGCACCACCACGGGCTCTCTTGTCCCCTCGGGGCTCACGCCAGGAGCTCTGTCTGTCCTCTCACTGTATCTCTCAATAAAAGTCTCCCTGGCTCTCCTACCTTGACTGTTTGCTAAGTTCATTCTTCGACTCCGCAACAAGAACCCGGCATCACTGTGACGCAGAAACCTAAGGTCACTTGCTGGGAAGACCGAGCTCATGCCTGTGCAGCCCTTGCTCAGGGTAAGGCAGTTGGCTGTATTTCTACCCCTATGAGGATAAGGAGTTTTACCGATTTATTGCAGAAAGCAGGCAGCCCTTTAACTTAGGGTCAGGGAATGTCAGACCTGGAGAGGGCCTCGGGAGATCATCTACAGAGGAATCCTTTTATGAGAAAATGAGTCCCTGGCGGCAATGTGAACTGCTAACAGACCCAGAAGGCAGTTGGTGACAGAAGAGGACATAGACTCCAAAGGGACCCCCGGGTCCCATGACTCTGGGCTTTGCTAAACAAGCCTGTGGGGCCCCCAACTCCACCTCAGATGGCCATTTCACACTAAGCTAATGTCAAGTGCTGGTCAATTAAAGACACGTGGCAAGTGCACTGAGCTTCACAGTTTACATTGAGCATTTGCAGACATGATCCAGACTTAGTCTCGGAATGAATGTCCCATTGCCCAAAAAGAAACCAAGGCCCGCAGGGGTGGACTGGTAAAGAACCCCATAAGTAGAAGCTCAGAAATTCCTTGCCTACTCTGGAAGGTAAAGGCATTCCCCCTTCAAAAAAGAAGGTTAGGTCAGTGTAAAATGGCTGACACCCCATGCCTTTGGAAAAGTATTTCCAGAACAAAAAGTCTACTGCTGACTCCAAGAAGGGCAGAAAGGAAAGCAGTTGCTATAGCAACACCTTTGGCAGCCTACTTTCCTTCCTCCTCCTGTTCAAGAACAGTTTCCAGCAGGCCGGGTGTGGGTGGGGAAGGCCTAATTTCAGCCCAGCAACTGCACTCGGCCAATCTCCTGCCAGGTTTGGTGGCCAGAGTCAGGTGGTAGCCAATGAAGAGGCCTGGAGCTTGTGTCGTGGTCCTTGAGCCAGGCTGGAATAACTAGAGGGCAGGCACACGTGACCGTTTCCACGGTGACTTCCCTTAGCAACCTGACTGGTCCTGTTTATGAGCACTGGAAAATTCCACCCAGCCTCTGGCCTGATTTTGTTACTTCTGTGCCTCCTTCCTTCCCCAAGGCATTGATAAAGTCACTGCCAGTGTTTAACCCCTTCTGGAGATGTGCCTAACTCCTGACAGATCCCGGGCTGCGTGTGAGGCCTGCATGCCCTGCGCTGCGCTTGGTACTGGAGGCTGGAGGGAACAGAGCCCTGGCAGGTAATGACAGCCATCATTTATACCCTAGTCGGTAGTGACAGCCACTATATACAAGTCACATCGTTTGAGTCAGGCACTGTACCAAGCCACTGACAACCTCATAACCCTAGGAGGGGGTGTTCCACAGGTCATTCCTATTTCACTGAGGGATAAGCCTGATTCAGAGAGGTCAA